ATACATACATACATACATACATACATACATACATACATACATACATACATACATACATACATACATACATACATACATACATACATACATACATACATACATACATACATACATACATACATACATACATACATACATACATACATACATACATACATACATACATACATACATACATACATACATACATACATACATACATACATACATACATACATACATACATACATACATACATACATACATACATACATACATACATACATACATACATACATACATACATACATACATACATACATACATACATACATACATACATACATACATACATACATACATACATACATATAAATATACATACATACATACATACATACATACATACATACATACATACATACATACAGTTGATTTTCATTATTTGTGTAGTTATATTCTATAAAGTTGCTGCAAACAGTGAATTAGTAAATACTGAACCATTGCTCCTAGAGGAAATACAAGGTTACATTCCTGTGAACCTCTGGTCACAGTATTTTTGTCAAACAAACACATAAGCTTGTTTTATGTGTGTTTCTATTTAGAGATACTTTATTTAATATATACTGATGATTCATTAACATTGAACTCACAGCTAAGAGTACTAAAACTAATGCCTGAACGAAGCTTATCTAACACACGTTTTCTTCATAAGATATAACAGTCTTGTGCTTAGAATCACTAGACAGGGCCGAGCCCGTGGCACACTCGGGAGAGTGCGGCGCTGGGAGCACAGCAGCGCTCCCGCCGCGGGTTCAGATCCTACATAGGGATGGCTGCCGGTGCGCTCACTGGCTGAGTGCAGTGCAGCCGGTCTCAAAAAGGACCAAAAAAAAAAAGAATCACTAGACAGTACTGAGCACTATGCTTAGGGTCCATTTTAAACAGCAAAATCACCACCAAAAAGAACAAAAACATGAAAAACGTGGCACTAAATAGATGGAAAAAGGACACAGTATGAAGTCTGAAACAAGAAGGCAGAGTGTCACCTCATTTGAACTCAGGAATGTGTACAATCAGCAACTCACATTTTTTGCCCCTCTGCACATGTCCGCAAATGATCACAAAAGTGCTGTTAAGTATTGATTTTGGGGTTACAAATAAATTTTAATGAGTAGGAAAATTCACAAATATGGAAGCCATCAGTAATGAGGACTGACTGTACTTGAGCCTGACTTCAATTGCCCAGAAGCCAAAAAAAAGGGCTTTATTTGCCTAGCAAAATAGGTTATTTACATTTAAGGTTTATATTTGTAATGTGAGACCTCAAAGAGTGTTGGATAAGTGTGATTAATATGCCAGCCTTGCTACTGATTCTCTGAGTGACCTTGGGCAAAAGGATTGGATTTCTGTGGGCCTCAGCTTATTATTTATAAACCAATAGTCTTGGACTACAGATTTTAAATATATATACACAGACACATATATATATATGCACACAGGTTTTTTTTTTAACTCACACAACACATTTAGATATGCTTAAACATCAGGAAAATATATAAGAAATAGTACTCTAGACACATAAAGGAGAGTGATGAGATGGAAGGTTTTTTACTGTATTTCTTTTTACATCCTTTTGTTTTTGAAACATGGGACTGTATTAACTATTTAAAAAATTAAACTTTAAAAGGAAGAAGAGGAAGAGGAGGAGGAGGAAGAAGAGGAAGACAACCTCTAATAGACATTTCATGTTCTGTATAGTAGCAGGAAGTGGGTTTTTTTCACCAGGACCAAGGCTACAGAGGGGCAGATATTTTAAGTTCACATTATACTATGCCCATTAGACCATAAGAGTTCACATATTTACATATCTTTTTATAAATCATTTACTTATTAATGTACTCACTGAATGCCAGGGACAGTTGCTAGTATATTATTCAGTTTATTTTTTTCTTTATGCCTGTGAAGTAAGTATTAGGTTGAATCATATGAAATTGCCAATAGTCAACCATTTTTGATCTACAAAAATGTTCATTTGGGGGCTGGCCAGTTAGCTCAGTTGGTTAGAATATGGTTGGATAACACCAAGGTCCAGGGTTTAATCCCTGTTACCAGCCAGCCGCCAAAAACAAAAAACAAAAAGAAATGTAATTTCTTAGGCTCAACCTGATGTTAACATCCCCATTTTAATGATGAGGAACCCAAGGTTCACAAAAGCTGAACAACTGTCCAGTGGCACACAACTAGTAAAAGAGACTCGACCTGAATCCAGATCTCCTTTTTCCACTGAGTGTGAATTTCTGGCATCAAAATAAATGCTTAACTTTCTTTTCCAGTTTGTGACCTTAAATGCCACCAAGTGGTAGAATCTTGATATAAGTTAAGTCAAGGTTCTCACCCCTCACCACTTCTCACCCATTCCTGATCCTGTCTTGGAGGTACCTTAGAGCCCAGCTACCCTGTTCTCCCCCAAACATTCCTTCTGCTTCTGCCTGATGCTGGCACGTATCGGGAACTCTGGGATCTCACTGCCTTCCCTCAGCTTTGGAGCACACATCCCAGCTGCTCACAGGCAGGAGGACTGCCTCACAGACCACTTTCTCTGAGAACACCAAGGCTCTCCAGGATCCAAACCGTTACCTATGCTCAGGAAGGAGAAAAGCCTGGCTCTGACACCCTGTATGTACTCCAAGCCCTGAGTTCTTTCAAGACATTGACTTTGAAACATCAAAACCTTAATTTTTGCCTTTGAAAGACTCTTCTCTTAAACTCTTCTCTGTTTTTGGTTTCAAAGTCTATTTTTAAATTTTAAAAAATTGGGAATCAACTCTGTTATCTTCTGTTCCTTTCTTGAGGCAATAAATGCAATACAACTAGTTACCTGAATATTGCAGATGAGGGGAGGGGGTAGGTTTAATGAGAAATAACAGGTGGAAGGAGAGGAAAATGACAGTTAATGCTCAAAATACTGCCCTGCACAGACATTTGTTATTCTTTTCTCAACTCAGCTTCTCAGATAGTTCTCAAACTTGAGGATGTCCAAGAAATTGTTCTGGGGAGTTGCTTAAAATGTGCAGACCTGGCTTTGTTTGGAAAATACTACTCTGGACCAATGGGCACAGGCTAATTTATACAGTTATGTTAATATACATTTGTGAACAAGTCCAAATTTAATTAAGAGCTTACAATCTTACAGAATAGAGGGAAATATTTTAGGCGAATGAAACTAAAATGTATTTTTCAACCAAGAGTTGAATAGCAACCTGGCACTGTTTAGATCTGTGGCCCTTTTGTTTTGCCTGTAAAGCAGTTCTTTTAAACACAGATAGGGTGCTGGGCCATTCTTTAACCAAGACACTCTTAAGATGGAACTCCATCAAACTGCACTGCTGTGCTACATCTACATTGCAAAGCAAATGAAGGAGCAGGGAAAACAGGGTAATTAGAGGCATTTTAAGCTCTTAGTGGGAGGAACAGCAAAATTTTCTATATTTGAAATTGTAGTGGGAACTTGAAGTTCTAAGGTGGTAGGGGTAAGGATAAAGGAACAAGGAGGAGGGAGAATAAAAGGAAAAAAGCACAGTGTTCTCAAATATACAGGGAAAATATTTGATCATATATTGACCTTAAAGAGTCAAAGAAACAGTTCCAGGAGAATGAAATAGTAAAATAACATTTCTCCTAAGTAGTACACTGAGAGATGTCAGGCTGGAGGGAAAAAAGAATAATAGACTGGGAGAAGGTTTTGAGGGCAGAAAGAACTGAGATGGAAGTAGATTGAATGTCTACAAGAGAAAATAAAAATTGACTTTTTAGGTAAAAATATTTCACTAGTACAAAGTCTTTAGGCATACTATTAATGTTTAATTTAGATTATAAGCTTTATCACACTTAACCACGTATTTTTCTAAAAAGTATCATAAAAAGTTCTACCCAACCTCTTTGCTACAGTTCAAAGGAGGGTTATAGAGCCTCATTTAGTCCCAGAAAATCTGCTGTCCTGAAGGCTATTTTTATTCTCTACCTGATACTGCCAAACTGAGAAAATAGACATGAGTTGCTTCTTCAACAAGAAATAACTCTTAAAACCATTCTACTTCTTAAGATACAAAAATACCAATGTTTCAAGTTTTTCTTGTAAAAGCTTTCTATACAAATAATCCCTTATGGCTGTATAGCACTTTATACTTTTAAATACTTTCAGATGAATTATCTCGTTTGAATTTCACTGAATTGTAGCATAAAAGGCATTTTCTATATCATGTGTTTTTACATACTGCTTTTTCCACTATCAAAATCAATAAAGTGTTAGACATGGTTAATTATTTTCTTATAACCTCAATACTCTCAAGCATTCACTGTTTTCTCTTTAGTTTTTCCTTTCTCCTTCCTCCTGACTAGAGTACATTTTATGCTGATGGTCAGTTCTCTTGACTCAGCCATGTTGCTAGTCTTTCATCTCACGAAGTAAAACAAGACCCGTAAGACCTAAGAAAAGTTTAGTTAGAATAAATATCTGACCCCCTGTGTCATTGGTAGCGGGAGAGTCACTGTTGCCTACTGAGGCTGATAGAGCATCAGGGCTACAACCAAAGTTGGTTTTGGGGGGGTTTTGGCAGCAGGCCAATACAGGAATCTGAACCCTTGATCTTAGTATTATAACACTGTGCTCTAACCAACTGAGCTAACTGGCCAGCCCCCTCAACCAAACTTTTAAAGCCACACTAAATCTGGCTTTGAGCCCTGAATTTATGATTCAGTAGCTCTGTGGTATCCTCCGTAGACGGTGGTATCTCCTTAATCTCATTTGCAAAGTTTCTATGTGCAGTAGAGTTCCTGCCATATAATAATTATTAAATGAGTGTTCATTCCTCTCCCTTGCCTCATAAAAGGAGGACTGCCAATGAAAGGAGTTGCCCACAGTTTAGGATACATGGTGGTATCTCCTTAATCTCATTTGCAAAGTTTCTATGTGCAGTAGAGTTCCGGCCATATAATAATTATTAAATGAGTGTTCATTCTTCTCCCTTGCCTCATAAAAGGAGGACTGCCAATGAAAGGAGTTGCCCACAGTTTAGGATACAAGAGCTAGGGTATGAGCTTCTTGATGCAATAGAACTCTCACCAGCCTCCAAGCCTGCTGAAACAGGGGCACTTGCTAACACCCAAGTGGACAACATAGTCCCCATTTGGGAAGGCCATGAGGCATAATCTTCAGATGGCCCCAGAGGTACACAGCAGAGTACCCCAATCATTCCCTATAATTATGCAATAACAGACATTGCTAGCCAATCAATATCACTGAGATGTTTGGGCTTTGAAACCTACCCTTTTCTGATCTCCTAAATCTCATACCTTAGGATCTCCTAGACCTGTGCCTGTCTCTGGGCCAGGTTCCACACTTGGCAGTAAATCCTTTCTATTCAGTCACAGTCTTAAATTTCTAATGGTCTTTATTTTTTCTTTAACAGCATATAGGAAGAATTTGCTTCTTAGCCTTGGCAGAAAAGGCATGGCAGTTTTTCCACTATGGGAGAAAATAAAAGAAAACTCCTCTGAACTTGACATGATAGCTGTTGTTTAAAGGAGAGAACAAATCTACCAGAACTGCACAAGAAGGTAGGAAGAAGTTGCTTCAACAGGACAACTAATCTCTCTATGACTGACAATGGTTCCATTTCAGTGAGGATGTACCAAGTACCTACATTGTCCAAACAATGCATTGGATGGCAGAGATATGAAGATGAGTAGAACATGGTCCTTATCCTGAGGATTTCAGAGCCTAGAGGGGAAGGACAAATGAAATATACAATGTGACATATCATGATTGTGGTCAAAGCTTAAAAAGACCCCAAAATGAAAAGTAGTTTGCTGTCATAGAGGGGAAGTGATCAACTCTTACTAGGAAGTAAGAGAGAAGGCTTCACACAATGATACTTATTAGGGTCTTCACTTTGGTTCTAGCCAGCCGTTAGTATGTGAAAGTAAAGTAGGTTATGGAGGTTATTGACATCTCAAGTTTGTCCTAATTCTTTAATTTTCTCTTAATGATCTTTTCAATTTCTATACAAATGTATGTTTTATAAATGTGTATATATGTATATATTCACAAGTGTATGTATGTGTGTGAATGTATGTATACAGACATATGTATGTTTGCATATGTAGTAGAAATACGGTGCTTTCTTTTGTGAATCTTGCTCCTGCTTCTCTAGCATGTGTTCAAGTGTTTAAATGCTTGAAGCTATGCTTCTTCTGTTATACATTGTGGATATAAATGCTGATTTCTTCTACATATGCTAAAACTATCATCAGTATGTATATGGATCAGTATACATCATATATATGTTCATATATACACATATACACATAGTACATATACATATATATATATATATATACACATACACAGTATATATATATTAGTCCATTTCTGTTGCTTATAACAGAATACCTGGAACTGGGTCATTTATAAAGAACGCAAATTTTATTGCTTATAGTTTTAGAGGCTGGGAAATCCAAAGTCCAGGGAACATATCTGGAAAGGGTCTTTTTAGTGGTGGCTTTACAGC